ACAAACACAGTTTAGGTGACTCTAAATAATTGGTTAAATGAAAGGTGAAATTAAATGACTTATTTAACTTCACCTATCGTTTAATGCCATATTAACGATACCTAGACTGTGTTTGTAACCTCAGTGTGGATGAATAGCAATACTTTATTCTTATAGGATGAGCTAGTATATTCTCCTTAGTGCTTTTGTAAAAATTCCTTATAGTTGTATATATACCACCGTAAATGAAGTAGAGTAGTAAGTTTGCTTTCAGCAAAATTAAGCTTTCAGCAAAATTAATCTTCAATTTCTACTTAGTAACAGAGCTCTAATGGCCAACGCCGGTTCAGGGTACCCAGCTACTTCTACTGAGCTGAATACCACAGCTTCCACACAAACCATTGTGAATCAGATCTCTCCATTTGGAATGAATCTCACTCAGACTCCTTCTGTAAAACTGGATAAGGACAATTTCCTACTATGGCAAAATATGATAATGTCTATAGTCAGAGGTCATCACCTTGAAGATTACCAACTGGGAATAAAACCATGTCCCCCAAAATTTATAGCAACTCAAACCGCCACAGAAGAAGGATTTGTAGAGATTTCCTAAAATCCTAACTATAACAAATGGATCTCAACTGACCAGTTGCTAATGGGGTGGCTGTATTCTGCTATGACCCCTGAAATTGCCATGAGAGTCATAGGCAACAACAATTCCAGCATCCTGTGGAATGCCATTAAAGAAAGTTATGGCATATTGAATAGGTCACGAGTGACATTTCTTATTGGTGAGTTGCAGAGGACTAGGAAGGGATCCATGTTCGTGGATCAGTACCTTGCAAATGTCAAACAACTGGCTGATAACCTGCAAATTGCTGGAAAGATAATAGATCATAATGCCTTGGTAACATAAGTCCTTGCTGGGCTAGATGAAGAGTATACACTCATAGTAGTTCAAATCAATAGCAGACATGATATTTCCTGGCATGAACTCTCATATGTGCTCTTAACATTTGAGAGCAGACTTGAATACTTTAATCAAGTGAGGAATGAAATGGGTTCAGTAAGTAGTAATCAATCCAGTGTGCAGTTAGCTCAAAGAAGTGGACTAAGAGGTGGTAGATTTAATAGAACTGGGAGATTTTCGAATATCAAAGGCAGACTAGAATAGGAAGAGCAGGCAGAATAGCTGAAAATCAAGGTCCATGTCAAATATGTGACCTCGGTAACCACTCAGCTAGCCAGTGTTATAATAGATATGATGTCAGATTTATGGGAAGTAGGCCAAACAATCAAACTAAGAACTCACCTCCTACATCTTATACAGTCTCATCAAGTACCATTGGAGACTCTACTTGGTTTGCAAATTCTGGAGCTAGCAACCACATGACTATTGACAAACGTAATAAGGTAATTACCCAGGAGTATGGAGGTAAGCAAAAGTTATTTGCTGGTAATGGAAATTGTATGAACATTGCTCATATTGGTGTAACTTACATTCGCACAATAATTGTTAAGTCTCTTGCACTGAATAAGCTATTACATGTGCCTGTCATAAAAAAGAATTTGATCAGTGTGTCACAATTAACACTTGACAATAATGTATTTGTGGAATTTTATCCTCGTTATTGTGTTGTTAAGGACCTGCAATCAAAGAAAACACTGCTACGAGGGACACCTAGAAATGGACTATATCAGCTGGAGTTACCTATTTCAAAACCCAAACCTGCAATTAAGGAGTCAAGCTACCAAAATAATTCCAACCTTGTAGTCTTCTTAGTGGATGCGAGTTGCATTGAGTCAGCCAAAAATGTCAAGTTGTCACAGTTAGATGTTTGGCATAGGAAACTAGGCTATCATCAAATCTTGTATTGAGTCAAGTGCTGAAGTCGTGGAATAAAATTGTCAAAGTGAATGAAATCCCAGATTTCTGTGAAGCTTGTCAATTGGGAAAATCTCATGCTTTGCCTTTTAACAATTCCACTTCACATGCAATAAATTCTCTAGACCTGATACATAGTGAGTATGGGGACCTGCACCAAAGAGTTCTACCTCGGGTTTTAGGTACTATATCTTGTTTGTGGATGACTATAGCAGATACACCTGGATCTATCCTATGAGACAAAAGTCAGATGCTTTAAGTGCATTTATTCAATTCAAACAAATGGTTGAAACCAACCTTGAGAGAAAGATAAAAATCCTACAATCAAACTGGGGTGGTAAGTATAGGAATTTTAACCAGATTGCCCTAAAATCAGGCATGGAATTGAGGTATTCATGTCCACGTACATCTGCACAAAATGCAAGAGCAAAAAGGAAGCATATACATGTAACTGAAATTGGGTTAACATTGTTATCTCATACTCATTTACCACTTCATTACTGGTGGGAATCCTTCACAACATCCACTTATCTAATTAATAGATGACCTACCTCTGTACTCCAACAAAAATAACCATATCAAATTATACACAAGAAAAACTTTGACTACAAAACACTAAAAACATTTGGTTGTGCTTGTTACCTCTGCTTTAGACCATATCAAAAACATAAGTTTGACTTCCATTCACAGAGTTGTGTTTTCCTGGCTATAGTTTCTCACATAAAGGATCTAGGTGCGTAAACTCAACAGGTAGAATCTACATCTCAAGACATGTTGTGTTTAATGGGGAAGAATTTCCATTTAAATCTGATTTTCTTAACAAATACACACAACCTCATACTACCACAAGTAGTTTGTATCCTCTTCCCTCTGACAATGAGTCAAGACATATATCCTCTTCTCAAACTGCAGCTGATATAGTCCAACCAAGCACAGCTTCACCAGGGACTTAAATCATGAGGCTGATATGAATGAAGGTAATCCTGAGATTGATCGAACAATATCAGATGGAAATGAACTTACTAAACCTGATAGAAGTGGTGCAGTAACAACCTATGGTGATGTGAATACTGATAGTCAGGATGCCATACATAATACTGGTCAGCATATGATCACAAGAAGTAAGGCAGAAATCTTCAAACCGAATGCATATGTTAGTAAGAACTCAGAAGAACTGGATGACTGTGAGCCACAAAACGTAAATGATGCTCTGTTAAGTACTAATTGGAAAAAGGCAATGCAAGAAGAATATGATGTGCTGATGAAAAACAATACTTGGAAGCTGGTACCTCCAGAGCCTGGAAGAAAGGTGATTGTTAGTAAATGGGGTATTCAAGATGAGGTGTGATGCAGAAGGAAAAGTGCAAAAGTATAAGGCAAGGTTGATTGCCAAGGGGTTCCTACAAACACCTGGAGTGGATTTCAGAGAGACGTTTAGCCATGTTATTAAGTCGTCAACTCTGAAAGTCATACTTGCAATTGTTGTGTCTAAAGATTGGGATATTAGACAAATGGATGTAAATAATGCATTTCTAAATGGTAAGTTGAAGGAGACAGTATACATAGAGCAAACACAAGGTTTGTTACAACAGAACACCCCACATTTTGTTTGTAAACTAGAAAAGGCATTATATGGGCTGAGGCAAGCCCCAAGAGCATGGTATGACAAGCTGAAATACGCTCTCCTGCAGTGGAAGTTCAAACAGTCCAAGGCAAACAACTCTCTATATTTCTTGGTGGATGAAAAACAAATTCTGTTTGCATTAGTCTATGTAGCCGATATCATAATCACAAGAAGTGACAAGCAGCAACTGCAGGTGTTCATTAACAAATTGAATGAGTGTTTTGCTCTCGAGGATAGGGGAGGCCTCAGTCAATTTCTGGGAATTGAAGTGCACAGAGATAGAACAGGCTTATACCTCACTCAGAAGAAATATTTAACCGATTTACTCAAGGAATTTAACTATGAAAATCTGAAATCAAGTACGACTTCCATGGCAGTGGGAAAACAGATTTCGAAGAATGAATGTGAAGACATGAGCGATCCAACACTTTATAGAAGTGCAGTGGGTGGACTTCAATACTTGACACACACACGACCTGACATTACCTATTCTGTAAACAAGATGAGCCAGTTTCTTCAAGCTCCCACAAATGCTCACTGGAAGGCGCTTAAAAGAGTATTTAGATACTTACAGAGTTCGCGCAACTATGGATTGGTTATTCAGAAAAGTGAAAATCTAAACATAATCGCCTTTGCTGATGCTGATTGGGCATCATGCCCAGATGACAGGCGCCTCACTGCTGGTTATTGTGTGTATCTTGGGGATAAACTAGTGTCGTGGTGCTCAAAGAAGCAACATGTTGTTGCAAGATCAAGCACAGAAGCTGAATACAGAGCTCTGGCTCACTGTGAATCTGAAATCACTTGGATTCTATCATTGCTGAAGGAAGTAGATGTATCACAGGAATCAATTCCCAAAATATGGTGTGACAACTTAAGTGCAGGAGCACTAGCCTCCAATCCAGGATATCATGCAAGAAGGAAACACATTGAGTTGGACTTTCACATTGTAAGAGATGAAGTACTGAAGAAAGAATTGGAGATTCGGTATGTTCCATCTTCAGATCAGACAACAGACTTATTGACAAAACTACTTGGACATTTCAAATATTTGTTCCTCAGAGACAAGCTTGAAGTGTTGGAGAGACACTCCACCTTGAAAGGGTGTGTTAGGATTGGACCACACAACACAACGTTTAGTGGATGAATTGATTCCCTGAATTTATGGAATGGGAATATAGTTTGTTAGACACCTGTCATATAATTATAGGATGAGCTAGTATATTCTTCTTAGTGCTTTTGCAACAATTCCTTATCCATAGTTGTGCATATTCCGTGAATGAAGCAGAGTAGTAAGTTTTCTCTCAGCAAAATTAATCTTCAATTTCTACTATGACATTCTTAACATTGAATCTTGAAATTTACAAAATAATTACATCTACAGCCATAAAAAACACGGCTGTAAACTCTAAATTAGTTAGAATTCACATACAGAATCTAGCAGAAAAATACAATAATTACATATACAAACAGGTAACAGCTTAAATAATGGGGCTAAATCTTTTTGGCTGGTTATTTCTTCTCTGAATTAACTATTTCTGCTCGTGGGGATGCACGAGGAAATTGTTTAAGTTCGTTCAAAATCGATTCACCTCCATCTGAAACATTTCCAGCATGAGGCGAGATTGCCATTTCCTCGAGTGCAGTAGCAGACGCCAAAAGATACTTCACGAATTCCATTTCAGACTCGGCCCCTGAGAATAGTTGCATATTAACCGTCTTAAGATGAGTCAATGAGCAATCCGAGCTTTTCTGAGATCTGAGAAATTCTGCAACCGCTTCCACGACGTCAAAGGTGAAGGCCTGAAGAAATAGCTTCATTTCATTAATTTGTTTTTTCGACCAAAGGAAACGATAAAAGAGATTCTGATAATGACTTACAGTAATTTTAAGTTTTTGTAAACTGGGAGAGCTTCTGATCAAGCACAATGAGCACGAGATCTCATCTATCTTTTCAAAATACATATCCGAAAGGTGAAGAGTTTTCAGTGTTTTCAGAGTTACTGGGAGTTTCTTAGGTGCACCATATTCTGCAAGTCCCTGAAATTTTTTCAAAGAAAACTTGAGCAGCATATCGTTTATAAGTTTACTTATAAGTAAATAAGTAGCTTCTGCATAATTTATTGCAAGTCGACTCAAATATGTCAATTTGCTTACCTCCAACACATAAGCCTGCAGATGCAGTTCCTCAAGCGCAGGAAGACAACTTAGCGACTTTATCAGATCGAAGGCGAAACGATCTTCCCTTACAAAATCCATGGACGAGAAAGATATCAAAACTTCCGCAAGAAGTGGGCTATGTTTGAAAGAAATGGATCTAAATACACCATGGAACTCAAAATATTTCAATTTGGGGGCATCAATTTCAATGCAATCAAGACTGCTACACTCCATCAACCTCAGTCGTTCAAGAGACGGGCAACAAGAAACCAAATTTCCAAATGTTTCGGGGGCAAACACAACATTTTGCAGATCAAGATTCACGAGCTTATTGAATCCTTTGAAAGTCGAAGGAGGATCAAACGCACATTTATAGAGCTTCAAATTCCTTAACTGGTGGAAATCAAATAGTTGGGAAGGCAATCTATGGTTGTCTCCCCTAGAAATGTGAAGTGTGAAATCCTGGATATTGTCATTCGGCAAGAGATCAATCCACTGATCAATCTTGGGACTACTTCGGAAATCGGGGACCTGGATGGCAAACTTGAGTAAAGGTCCCCGATGAAATTTTAGAATTGTGGATACGAGTGTTTCGAGTTTCTGGTTCCCAAGAAACATTTGATCGAACCAAAAATCGAACACGAGTTCGGGACATGTTACCCATTTGTACCTCCATTCTCTCGACAGTATGCTAGTCCTCACTGCGTCTCGCAATGGCAAGCATCCGAGAATACTCTCTATAATACTACTAGGCAGATTGCTGATTGAATCTGCCTCAGATTTTCGAATACTCCTCATTGTTATGAATCTGAAGGAAAAATTTTAAAATCCAATGTCAGAGAAATGATTCAGCATTGTAACAAAGTAAGTTACTTATTTTCAAATAAGTTAAGTGGAATCTTTCAAAGTGAACCAACGCATCTGTTGCAAAAAGTCAATACATGACACTGCAAAGCCGGCGGTGGCGGTGGCTTTTTATAAATAAAGAGGTTCTTCTTCCATTATAAAAGTGATTTTACAGCTTCGTATAAATTAAAAACATTGAATATGCCCCTAAAAATGTACAAATAATCTCAAACTCATCCTCTGTTTTTCTTCGTTTAAAGTGAAATTTCTCAATTAAAATTAGAAAAGCATCAAATCAATGTTTCCTTATATAAATTCTTTCTTCTGAATTCAATCAAACAACTAAAAAACTGAATCCAAAATTCACATCATTATGTAACCAATTTCATCCAAAAAACAAAAACCCGCACAGAATTGAAAGAAACAAAAGAACAGATAAAGAACATCAATTAAAGGGACTTTTGCTTACCAAAAAGACGGTTGATTCTTCAGGATTTTTCTTTAAGAAACAAAAGGGAAAAGGAATTTTTGATAGTGATTTTGTAGCTGTATTGAGCTGCGAAACTGCGATAAAAATTGTTTTGCTGATTTATCCATTCTCTATTGTTGTGGATATATAGGCAAATGTTTGAACAAATAGCGGGGCCCATATCCTAAGAATAAGAATAGTAAAAATTGGGGGACCCAATTTGTTGTGCTGACTCAGATGGTGATAAGCACAATATCCACAAAAGTACTATAATTCCAAATAATTAATTATTTAAAACATATTTTATATTTAAAAAAAATTACATTCTTCTTGACTTTTTTTCTTTACAGGTGCACCCACTTCGATTAGAAAAATAAATTACTTTAATTTGGTTTGGTTTGGTTTGGATTGGTTTTCTTACTTAATTTAATATGATTTTAGTGAAATTAGAAATTAAAACTACCAAAAATATTTACAGAACCGACAAGTTCAACAAAGTTAATAAGAATCTGACTAAGAATCGATTCTGGAATGGGTTAAATCCCATTCAGTTGAAAGCTGTTATAAAATTAGTCAAGCAGGCAGTTAACCAAAAATCTTAGAGTTGGATATAAATTGTCCTGGTTGTTTGATTGTCCGGAATGAACTTATCAAGTTTCTGTCAGATCGAATTCTGTAAATATCAATCGTGTCAACACTGGTTCTACCGCAAAGGAGTATTAGACATTGTTACGATAGACTCGTTATAGTCGAGTAAGTTGATTGCACTAAGTTGAAGATGAATGATTAAATTTATAAGCAATTAAAATTGAGTGGACTAATTTTACCAAATTGAAGATAAGCTCAAAGTTTGGTAGCAATAGTGCATTGTAGAATATTAAAAAGTTGAGGGCCCCAAAGCCAAAAGAGGAGGGATGTAGGTCCCTTCGCAGACAGGATTAATAATGGCACCGGCGAGGCAAAATAAATAAAAATAATTGAAAAGGACAAAAGATAACGTGGCAGGCTAACATAGGCTCTTATTAACAAATTCCAGCAATGTGGGCCGTTTTAAATAAATTATTTTAAAGTACCCACACGTCAGCCTTACAAGGAATGTAGATGGATTAGATGATAAGATAAACTCTATTAAAGTTCAATCCAATGTCTTTTCTGAATTGAGAATCTATTACTTAGTGATGTGACAAGATAATTTGGATAGGATAATGAATAGATGTTTGTATAATGCTCCACGTACAGGAGCTTTTTCTTACAGGGGCTTACAGACCCCTCACTGTAGAGGGGGCCTCACTGTTTTAAAACAATGATTAAAAAATATGGACCCCACGTGAATGTGTGTGGCCTGGCAGAATCTGTGAAAATTCCATCTGTACGTGTAGCAGCTCTCTAGATATTTAATTTTGCAGGTTTAATAGAGTAAATGATATTATTATTTTTCAGACGTCTCGATCGTTGTCAAGATTCACATGCAGATCGTGAATTCTAATTAATAGTCTAGCTTCTCGTTTTTATTCCAATTATGCTATTATTTAATGAAGTTAAGTATGCTGGAAAGTGACATGATTAGTTTGTTGGTCGAGTACTTCAAATGGTTTCGAATAAAGTTTTGAGTGAAATATTTTAATAATTGACGTAGTTTCGAAGCACAAAAAAATAAATAAATAAAATTTGAAGTTATTGAAAAGATTAATAGTCTAAATATCTCAAAAATAAAAGGGTCCATAATTTTGAAATGTTGTTTAGTAGCCTATTAAACTTTTAAATGCACTAAATTCCACTCTCGAGTACCGTCAGCAGCTTTTCAAGATGCCAAAAGGACAAGGAAAAAGTTTCACGCTAGTACAATGGCGATGATGTCATCTTGTCGTGGTTTGTGATGTTGGTGGGGGATAGGATAGGGTTTATGGTGTTCATATCGACAATGACGAATTTTTGGGCTGATTTTTGATAGTGCGATAATGTGTGTAGGCGGCAATGGGGAGGATGGTAATGCTGCTTGTCGGTGGTGGAAATAGACTGTGACAACGAATGTGATTCTTGTGAAACTAATGAAATGTGCATAACAAAGTGTGTTACACGTTGTAAATAATATTTTTGTGAAAAAATAATAATAATGATTTTGCAATGAAAAATATATGTGTTGATGTATTTTAAACCTATCTACTTTGTTTTATATTATGTACATATAGAAAATAATTTCTGAAAAGAATCTCTTTTTATTTATTTTTTATAATTAAAAATCATCGTTTAATAATATGTTCAAATTAATTCCAAGTTGATAAATTAAAACTGATCAAATAATTAATATGCCATTTTCGATAATCTCTTCAATTGGACCAGATAGTTTACATAAAAACTGTGAAAATAAATTTACAATGATATTATTATTAACGGCTTATTAGCACAAAATGTTCATACGTTTGATATTTGGTGAGCAAAGAGTACTTAAGTTTTAATTTTTTGCATTTTTACCTTTATTTTCACGTTTCATTGTGGAAAACGTCATTTCCATCAATTCTTATCAAATTTCTTAATAAAAATAGGGAAAATTGCAGCAACGGTTCCAAACCTTCCGATTTTTAGCATAATTTACCTTAACTTTTAGTTTGTACCACCAGAGATCCCAAACTTTTCATTTTATTGTAGCGCAAGGACAAATTGACCGTTAGTTGACTAGAGAAATTGATTTTGACCAAATTTAAAAGGACAACTTGACTACTTTAACATAAAATAGTTTTTTAAAAAAATAGAAGAGAATGGTTCATCATCTTCCTCCCGTCCCCGTCCCCGTCCATCGTCCCCCTCCATCCCACCTTATCCTGCCAAACCCAAACCAAATCAACTACGTCCCCTCCTTTCATATCCTTCAATAATGAAACTAATTCGACATATTCTTTAGATTATTACATGTGCATTATGGTGTGCTGTCGTAGGTACCCAAAAATAGTTCTTAAATCTCTAAAACAAATATAGTAATGGAAGTAAGGGTCGATCCCACGAAAAGTGTGTAATTCAATATTTATGCTTCGTACAATGATTGTGGAGATTTTGTATTCAAACAATTGTAAATAACTCAATTAATAACAATGTCAATTAACTTAACGAAAACA